CCACACAAAGTAAAGTGAAACTGCCCAGAGACTAGCAACCGAAACTCAGAGATCTGCTCTCACGATAAAACAGTCACAATTTTTAAGCAAATACATGAATATATTAAAATGTTATTATTATGAAATGTTATGATTGAGATATCCATTTCTTCCCACAATCTTCCCTTGAATAATTTTGTTTTTGAAGAGATATATTTTGATAAAATGTGGTAAGCTTTCAAAGAGTTGACTAGGTGACAAATTCTCTTCTGGTTCTCAGGGACAGAAGATTCCCTTGAAAGGTTCCGAATCTGTGACCCCTTTTCCCTGAGCACGTTAAGTCAGGGCCCCAGCAGCTCCCATGTACATGCAGATCCCGGAGTCTCCCCAATATCAGATCCCATCCCTGCCTGTAAAACATGCTTTCTGCAGAGGGAACGATGCCAAATCCAGGTGAGTCCATGGTGTGTGGAGTGTGCACTAGACCAGGGCCTGGGCCACGAAGAGCTCCTATTTCATGGGGTCATGTGCGTGTGGGCCAGATGTCTCTCCCCTGCAGATGAGAATGGGGGCACTGCCTGCATTCTGCTTGGGAATGCCACTTCAGACCCGACAAGAGGACCAAAAGAATCTTCACCAACTCTCAGGAAACTGTCCAGGGACAATAAAGCTCTTTACTAAGCAAGACCTTTGCTTCTGTATATCTTCTTCTGCATCTTTCCACATGGCTACTACCTAGCAGTAGGGAGTGGTATTGACCCTATTGTCCTGGAGGGATTCTAAATGTGCTTCCTCACTCATGGAAGAAGACGATCAGTCATGCTGTTTGGGAAAATTCAGTTGGTAGTGAGTGGTGCTTTGTAGTTCAGAGTGAAACTTTGAAGACCAAGTGTGTCTGCTGTCAGCCACAGCATTGAACCAGAAAGCTTCTTGGTGGTTACAGAACTTTACCTGGACCAACCAGTCAAAAGGAATAAGTAACATGCCACTCATGCTTGAATTTCATGCTTTTCTCCTTTTTGTTTAAAAAGAAATTAAATATTGTAAAAATGCATTGTAGTATCTCTTTGTCACCAAGTCAGTAAAAACGATACCCTGGGCAAATCTCCCATCACCTTTCTACCTCCTCCTCAGCATGCCAACCCTTCTGCAGTCAGCAAGCTTTTCCCAGAAAAGCAGTAGTCATGTGTCCTTGAGGCACACTGCACAAATGGCCTGGGGTTTCAAGTCATCCAGAACATCAAGGGGTCCTTTTGTCACCAGGAAGGTCTGTTTCCTGAGTAGTAAAAAAAGAACAAACATGATTAGCTCCTGTCTGCTGAAGAATGTTTGCTGCAAAGCCTGGCCCTGCTGTCTTGGGTTTGTGATATCTCTTCATTTCAAAGCATCTCCTTTTTGTGTTTTAAAGTTGAAAATATGTTGATAAGACTTCTGTCACCTGGGTTCTCTGTCAGAACAAATCTCCATGTTCCTGCAGGCCTTTTTCTGGACATCTAAAAGTCCTCTGTGCCTCCTACTACTCCTAGTACAGTGAAGACAACTGGTCTAAATGCTGACAAGGCCATGCTGACATTAACCTAAGCTCAGGCCTGGGGGACAAAACAGAGATCAAGGCAGGAGGCCCCTCTCATGTTGGAAGGCAAACAGCTCCATGCTTTTCAAGGAGCAGCATCTCTAAGGTGCTGTCCAGGAGACAAGAAAGATGGCCCTATAGCCCTCAGCCACTTTCACCCACACTGTGCTCCTGTAGGGCTTCCTAGATAGGAGCAAAGGAAGAAGCCCTTCCTAGATAGGAGCAAAGGAAGTGCCCCTGTCCATGTGTTGGGTGCCACTGTATCTTTCCAATGAAAGATCTAATTCTTCCCACAGGTTCTCAGTGGGCTTCTATGGGTTATCCTTCTTTATCAAAGAGAAATGTGGAGGGGTCTGTAAGGTCTGAAAGTTTTTGTCTTGATATTAAGCAATGTTTATCTGTAATTATCCCAAAGGGCAAGTTCCTATTCTATAAGTTTCTTTTTTTTTTTTTTAATTTTTTTTAATATTTATTTTTTAGTTATCGGCGGATACAACATCTTCTTTTTTTTTGTATGTGGTGCTAATGAGGATCGAACCCGGGCCGCACGCATGCCAGGCGAGCGCACTACCGCTTGAGCCACATCCCCAGCCCAATAAGTTTCTAACATAACCAGTAAGTTATATTTTTTTATGTAAAAGATGAGAATCAGAAAGATCTAAATTTTGGAAGTATTCAATTTGATGAGTTTAAGAACAGAAGGTAACTAAGAGCCAGGGAATCAAAGAGTAATTCTTATTAACTGTACTCAGAGACACAGAGACTCTGAGAGTACCAGGACTGCCCCTGTGTCCAGGTATAATGGTCCATTACTCGATAGTCCTCAGTGGTCAGAATGTAGACTCTATGAGCCATGTTTCAGTTCTGATATTTTTAAATCTCACATGCAAACATTTTTACCCATGTGACAAGAATGTATAAATTTTTTGTTCTGGATGGAATATATTTATTAAAATTTATAAAGCTCTGTTTGCCAAGGGGGAAACCTCTGTGTAAGATACATTTAAATTATTTACTTATAAAGCCTACCTTTCATCTCAATTATTCTAAATTGTTCATGAAATCCCAACATGAGTCTTTTGAGAATTGCAGCACAAGTGTTCTGGCAAACTACAGGAAAGGCAGAGCCCAGCTCCTGGCTACACATCTTGTAGAGCTCAGGGAACTCTTCCAGAGGAGTCACTTGTGTGGAGAAAGCAGGGGCCACCTCAAAGCCCCTGTGCACAGCCCAGCTGTGGGCCTCAGGCGCCTTGGCCCCCTGGACACTGCTTCTCAGAGGAAACAAGCCTGGTGGCAGCATGAAGGGGGCTGTGGTGCTGGGCAGTCAGCCGCCCGGTGAGCTGGAGGAGGCTCACTCTGCCCACAGCCCTCCGGGCAGCACTGTACTTTCCAGGAGCACAGCCTGCCTGTGCTTCTGGGGGAGCAAATCTGTGAGTTCAGTGTTGAGCTGGTGATGGCCAGTGCTAGGCAGAAGCCAGGATAACTTCTCTTCACTATTTCCCAAATGCTACAGGCAATCAACACACCTCAGCCCTGCTTGCGCAACAACAGCTCAGAAAGCAAGTGACTTGTTCCTCCTTCCAATAAACAGGACGAAGCTGGAGAAAGAAACAGGGTGGGTAATGGAAGCGGTGAACCTCTGTCCTACATCCACCCTCCCTGGGTGCTTTCCCACACCAGCCCCACTCTTCCAGTTGCTTCAATGATCTGCCCTTAGCACAGGGGCACGTTCTCACAGCTCAACTAAACTTCTTATATTTTTCATATATTCAAGCCTAAAAAGGCTTGGGAAGGTTATTTTGCATATTAAATCCAAGTTCTCTTCAGTGATGGATGTGGGTCTGGAGGGATCAAGGGGCTTCTGTTTTCACATTGTCCTCTTGTCACCTCAGCACAAATAGCCCCCTTCCACCTGCAGCCGCCTGGAGAATTCCTTCACAATTGCTTCCACAACTCTCCATTAAGCAGTACTTGCTTGCTTTCCTTTTTCAGGGTTTGATCTCAAAACATAGATACACAAATTATTGATTTGCAGAAATGAAATGCTAAGACTGGACACCATCTGCCTGCTCCCTTTGTTTCACAGACCAAGAAGGCCTGGACTAAAAACACAGGAGGCACATGGCCACAGAGGCAAGCCCTGAGGACACTCATTGCCAGGTCACATGCCCCAGGACAGCACCTGCTCTGGATGCTCACAGCATCACCATGGCATGTCCCTGTCAGCATCCATTCACTTCAGATCCAAACAACTCAATGGAAAGTACACGTTACTTCTTTAAGTTTGCTTGCCTATTTACATTCTTTGGGGATTGAGTTTAGAGTAAAATGTCCTCCATGTTCAACAAAACAGTGATTCACCTCTGTACTAAGGCCACTTGTAGAAGTTCTTGGGTTTTTCCCCGTCTTCAATACAGGAGAACTGAGTGCAAGCATTTCTGCGGCAGCCCTCCACAATTCCACAGGCCAATGTTGTGCTTTCAATTAGTATCACAGTGGCAGACAAAATAATGATTTTTTAAAAAGAATTTATAGCAAGCTGTTTGTTATTGAAGGGTGATGTTACTGTGTCTAAATGCTTAGTTCTCAAAAAAAACTCTGAAAATGGCCTTCTCTTTGCTATTCCCCAAATGGCACAGGGACTGGGAGGACAATGGAGAATCAACACCCGTCAGCCCCTCGGGCTGAAGAACTGAAGGTTAGACCTATACTACTGGTATTCAAAGGAAATAAATTTATTCTGTTTTATCATCAGAGGCAAATAAACTACAGAATCAAGACAGTTTGGAATGTTGAATACTACTTACTAGAATCATAGCAGTTTAAACTCTGATGCAATCTAGTCCAATTCCTCCAGTTCAAAAAACAGAAGCCCTCAAAAAAATTTAAATAAAATTTTACCAAGTAAGGATCTTTCTTGCTAAACCAATGCCAAACTGCTGCAAAGATCCCTTGGAGAGTTCTTACCAAAGTAAAGGCCTTCAGGAAGGGGTATGGAAGGTGAGACAGCAGCACCTACCTGGGCTGCAGGTGCACAGGACTTAAAGTAGCTCCACAGCAAGTTTGTCCCAGTGCACATACATACTAGGGCTCTGAGGCTACTTTCAAAGCAGGGGATGATGATTCAGGGGAGTAAAAGTGCTCCCAAGATCTTTTATATTTCTGATTTCCTCTCTTTTAACTCAGTGTGACCTTTCCAGGCGATCAAATTCAGCCCTGGTCTGCCAGCACCTGCATCTGGGCCCTTTGGTCTGGCTGCAGTGATTCCACCAGGAGCCTCTCCATTTCTTAGGCCCTTACCAACATAGGGGCTTTATTTTAAGTGAAAGTTATAATTGGACGGCATTCAGTTTAGTCCTATTCAGCAACCTGAACACAGACTCCTGCCACTGTCCCCCAAGCTTTTTGGGCACGCACCTGAGGTCCTGGTGTCCTTGGACGCAGGCCTTCAAGCAGGCCCCTGGCTGGGGGTCTCCTTGGCCTTCTTGCAGGTGTACAGCCACTTAATGATGCGGGCATTTCTCTCGACCACGGAGGTAGTGCTGGGCACCTGCTCTACGAGCTCCTCCTCCTGCAGCCCATCGTTGACCTCGTCGCTGTGCCGAGAGAAGCCACTGTCGGAAGTGGCCACACTTACGCTACGCACCTTGAGGGCGACACAATCGGACCCTGCGGAGAAGTTGTCCTTCCCAAGAGCCTCTACCACCTCGGGATCCAGGCCGCAGTACAGGAAGAAGGTGTCAAACTCGGCCTTGGCCAGGGAGTAGCGGGAGCTGAGGTCTGACTGCGAGCGCTGAAGCCCCCGACGTCTGGCCACCAGCAGCTCCTTACCAGCGCACGAAGCCTGGCCCCCCGGGGTCGCTGCTGAAGGCAGGGCGGGGTCCCCGGGCTCTGGGCCCGCGGCACCGACTGGGGCCGCAGTCGCAGCCACCAGGAAAGGCTTTGCGGGTGCGGCCTCCCTGCCGCCGGCATGGCTGTCCTCCCTCGCCCCGGGCGTTTGGAAGGACTCCGGCGCCTTGTCTTTGCTCGGTCCCTGGAAAAGTTTCTTCACCAGGCCTCCCCTGGGGCCGTCGGTACCCGGCCCTCGGACGAACTCGCATTTCTGCCGGTAGATGACCAGTGAGTCAGGCCTCAGAGACTTCCGCGCGATCGCCCTGCGCGCCACCGGCGCGGGGACGCGGGCCGCAGCAGCCGGGTCACAGCGCTGCCCCACGGGCGTCCCAGGGCTGCGGCCCTCAGAAGCGGGGTCCAGATGGGCCCCCGGCAGGCCTCGAACGTACTTGGCGCGGTCCGCAGCGAGCCTCTCCACCGCGCTCCTGCGCGCCGGCCGCACTGCGTGCGCGTCCCGCAAGGCCTCGGAGTCCGGGGGAGGCGGCTGCTCGCCGGCAGACGCGTTCTGGGCAGGCAGAGCGCGCATCCTCGCCGGGCACAGACCCGCCGGGCTCGCGTCCTCCCGGGTTTCGGCGCCCGTGGGTCCCAGGCCCGTTCCGAAGTCCGCTCGGGGTGGGGAGTGGCGCCGCAGGGTCGGGCCGCTCAGGTCCGGAATCGGGGCGAGTCTGAGTTCGTTTGGGCAGGTGAATCACCCCAGTCCCCGCCCGCTGGCTCCTCCCACCTGCCCGCCACCACCCGCCACCCAGTCCCAGGTCCTAGTCGCCTCCGCCAGGTGTCCCCGCCCCCCATCCTGCAGTGTCCCCGCCCTTGTCGGTCCCCACCTCCTCACCTCTGGGCCGGTATCCCTGCCTCCTCACCTCTAGCCGGGTATCCCAGCCAGGTGGGCCCTCAGCCTCCGCACCTCCTCTCAGTGTCCCCTCCCTTGTTCTTCCCTAGACTTCTCTCCTCTGACCCAAGCCGTCTCTCTTCTACCTTAGCAGGCTATGGGGAGGGCCAAGCCGTCCCCTGGGGCAGAGATGGGAGGAACCACGCCCTTTCAGCTCCAGGTGTCAGCCATTTCCTTCCAGTCCCGGAATCCCTGAGGGCACTGGCGGACAGGGCGTTTCTTGAGAGGGGAGGGCCAAGGGGACGGGCTCCCTAAGGCAGGTGCCTTGTGTCCTTTGATTTCTTAAAGTGATCTCAGCGTGCTTGGACTCTTGACTGTTTTCCTTAGTTTCTACCAGAGCCCATAGTATCACAAAAGAAGAGGATATAAAACGAAAGAAAACTTTGGCGCTCAGAGTCAGTCTGTTTGGAGGAACCCAGGACCTTTGGGAAGGACCAGAGGATGGTGAAACTGCGGGCAGTGCGGCCTAGAAGTGCTGAAAGTGTAAGAAAATGTTTCCAAAATTCCATTCTTTTCAGACAATGGACAAAGGACTAAAAATATCTGACAAACAAGTGAAATACACGTGTTATCTCCTACAGGGGTGTGGCTCTGGGATGCTCCCAGCACTTGGCTGTAGTGCCTGTTCTGCTGCCTTACTGAAACCTGTTTTTAGCACCAGAGGGCACCAGAAGTGGTCTGGCCCCTGGGAGAGAGCAACAGGGGGTGTCCATTGGTCCTGGGGGAAGGGAGAAGCCCAGAACCACACTTCCCAGATAACCCTGCTGGCAAACGTGGCACTTACAGATAGAGACAGGGGAGAGAGGGAATGAAACAAATCAGAATGTGCTCCAAGGTTGAGGGCTGGAAGGTAGGTGTGCCTGGTCTCTACTCACCAGACCTGGGGTCCCAGAGGACAAACCTTCTCAATTGTTTGGCTGAACCTGACTCCTGTCACTGCCTCTTGGGCAGCAACAGAAGTTCTGAGAGAATCCTAAGCCAGGGACTCTGGAATTTGAACCTGGGCCCAAATTTACCAGTCATATTCCTTTGAACAGGTGGTACTTATCGGGGATTTTATTTGTCATCTGCAGAAACCCTGTTTTTATAGTGTGCCCTGTAGTGAGTGCCAAGTAAATGTGAGGTTAAGGCCTCTGCCTCCTGATGTGGGAACTGTAGACCGCTGGTTGCTGATCTGTAATCTACAGCCAGGTCTTGTCAGTTACAGAGAATTCTTATTAAAGGGCTTGGCACTTCATCTGGTAAAGAGTGGATTTTCAATAAAAGTTAAATTTTCTTGTTTTGATGAGGATATTATGATAACTGTTTGCTACTTTTGAATCAAAGTTAATGAATTTGCATATGAGCACTGGACACATTAAAAATAGTTTAACTTCTATAGAGAGTTATATTTAAGACATTTTTATTTGATTAATTTTATTTATGTCTATGATCTCCCACCTCTTAAGCAGATAACTTACTGGAATAATGGAACTGAAGTAGTAAGATACTGACAGAGAAATTTCTTGACTGGAAGTATCAACTTTGAGAACATTTCCTTCCTGGTATTCACCTTGAAAGATGTGAGGGCAAAACAAAGTGCAAATGGACTGAATGATCCCATAACTCAACTCTGGGAATTTGTCCCTGGGAGCTCACAGTACGTGTGTGCAGCAGGAGGGCACCCACTGCAGAAGGGCCTGCAGTCAACCAGCAGGCGGCAGCAGAAGGGAGGCTGGGTGATGAGTGGCACTGTTGATGATTCAGAAGGAACTGAAGAAGCCTGGGGGAGAGTGTTGTGGTGTTTATGTGGGCACCGGAAGCGGCAGCACTGTGAGTGGTGCAATGATTAATTTGTGGATCAACTTACCTGAGTGATGGTGCTAACAGCTGTGGTCAGACTCATTCTGAGTGCTTCTTCGAGTGAAGCAGATTGCCCTCCCCAATGTGGAGGGGCCTCATCCAGTCATAGAGTGAAGGCTGGCCTCCTCTTGAGCAAGAGGAGATTCTCCAGCTTTCATCAGACTGGAACTGCCACCCTTCTTTCCCTTGTTTCCTGGCCTGCTGGCCACCCTATGAACTTTGGACTGATCAGTCTTCACAACCTCATGGCCAGTTCCTTTAGATAGGTCTCCTTTTATGTGTGATAGCCATATGTTCTTGGTTCTTTTTGTCTGAAGAACCCTGACCAACACAGCAGGTTAGGAATACAAGACTGAAAGGAAGAGAGGCTGAGATGAATAGATGCGCAGAGACTGGTGACCCTTGGATGTAGAGGGCAGAATGGAACAAAGAGCTTGGCAGGCTTTGCTGATCTGACTTGGGGACTGCAATTGTCCCAAATTAAGTCATTATGAAGGGATGGGTATTTAAGAGGAGAGAATCAATGTTGAGGTATGCTCCTAATATCCCTAGTTTTTCTAGTGTTTTGAACAGGAAGGTGTGCTGTATTATGTCAGTTGCTTTTTCTGCATCTATTGAGATGATCTTATGATTCTTGTTTTTAAGTCTATTAATATGATGAATTACGTTTATTGATTTATGAATGTTGAACCAACCCTGCATCCCTGGAATGAATCCTACTTGATCATAGTGCACTACCTTTTTAATATGTTTTTGTATGTGATTTGCCAGAATTTTACTGAGAATTTTTGCATCTATGTTCATTAGGAATATTGGTTTGAAGTTTTCTTTCCCTGGTGGGTCTTTGTCTGATTTTGGTGTCAGGGTGACTAGTATCATAGAATGAGTTTGGAAGGGTTTCCTTCTTTTCTATTTCTTGGCATACTTTGAGGAGTATTGGTGTTAATTCTTCTTTGACAGTCTTATAGAACTCAGCTGAGAATCCATCTGGTTCTAGGTTTTTCTTGATTGGTAGGCTTTTGATGGCATTTTTTTAATTTCATTATTTGACATTGATCTGTTTAAAGCATGTATGACATCCTCATTTAGTCTGGGTAGAAATTTGTTGATGTCTTTGATATTTCTATTTCATTAGAGTATAAATTTTCAAAATAGTTTCTAATTATCTTCTGTATTTAGACATCTTTGTTGTGATATTTCCTTCCTCATCTTGAATTTTAGTAATTTGAGTTTTCTTTGTTTTTCTTTTCATTAGCATGGCCAGAGGTTTGATCTATTTTATTTATTTTTTCAAAAAAAACCCAACTTTTTGTTTTGTCAGATTTTTCAATTGTTTCTTGTTTTAATTTCATTGATCTCAGCTCTAATTTTAATTATTTTCTATCTTCTATTGCTTTTGGTGTTGATTTGTTCTTCTTTTTCTAGGGCTTTGAGATGTAGTGTTAGGTGATTTATTTGTTGACTTTTTATTCTTTTAATGAATGCACTCAATGTAATAAACTTTCCTCTTAGTACTGCCTTCATAGTGTCCCAGAGATTTTGATATGTTGTATCAGTATTCTCATTTAACTCTAAGATTTCTTTTTTTATTTCATCCTTGATTTCTTATATCATCCATTCATCATTTAATTGTATATTACTTAGTCTCCATTTGTTACAGTAGCTTCTACTTTTTATTTTATCATTGATTTCTGATTTCATTCCATTGTGGTCTGATAGAATGCAGGGTATTATCTCTGCTTTTTTGTATTTACTAAGAGTTGCTTTGTGGCATAAGGAATGGTCTATTTTAGAGAAGGAGCCATGTGCTGCTGAGAAGAAAGTATATTTGCTCATTGATGGATGAAATATTCTATATATGTCTGTTAAGTCTAAATTATTGATTGTATTATTTAGTTCTACAGTTTCCTATTTAGTTTTTGTTTGGAAGATCTGTCCAGTAGTGAGAGAGGTGTGTTAACGTTCACCCAGAATCATTGCATTGTGGTCTATTTGACTCTTGAAATTGAGAAGGGTTTGTTTGATGTACATAGATGCTCCATTGTTTGGGGCATACATATTTATAATTGTTGTGTCCTTCTTATATATACTTCCCTTGAGAATCATGAAATGTCCTTCTTTGTCCCTTCTGATTAACTTTGGTTTGAAGTCTTCTTTATCTGAAATGAGAATGGAAACTCCTGCTTGTTTGTGCAATCCATATGAGTGATAAGATGTTCCCATCCTTTCACCTTCAGCCTGTGGATGTCTTTGCCTGTGAGGTGAGTCTCTTAAAGACAGCATATTGTTGGGTCTTGCTTTTTAATCCAATCTGCCAGTCTACGTCTTTTGATTGATGAGTTTAGGCCATTAATATTCAAGGCTATTATTGAGATATGATTTGAATTCCCTGTCATTTTGATTTATTTCTGGTTTTTGATTTGTCCTAGTTTCTCATTTGGTTGAATGTCACTTTAGTGTAGATCCTCTTTGCTGGTTTTCACTTTTTTTTTTTCACTTCATCCTCATGGAATATTTGTTGAGAATGTTCTGTAGTGTAGGCTTCTTAGTTGTGAATTCTTTTAATTTTTGTCTATCATGGAATGTTTAAATATCATCTTCAAATCTGAAACTTAATTTTGCTGGATATAAAATTCTTGGTTGGCATCTGTTTTCTTTCAGAGCTTGAATTATATTATTCCAAGACCTCCTAGCTTTGAGGGTCTGGGCTGAGAAGTCAGTTGATATCTAAATTGGTTTCCCCCTATATGTAATTTGATTTTTTTCTCTCTCACAGCCTTTAATATTTTATCTTCATT